GTATCAACGGTTCAGGCTGGTGGTGGTGGTGTCATGGTGTGGGGAATCTTTTCTTGGCAATCTTTGGGCCCCTTCGTTGCAACGCCACAGCCTACCTGAGTATTGTTGCTGACCTTGCTGACCCTTTATGACCACAATGTACCCAACATCTGATGGCTACTTTCAGCAGGATAATGCGCCATGTCATAAAGCTGGAATCATCTCAGACTGGTTTCTTGAACATGACAATGAGTTCACTGTACTCAAATGGCCTCCACAGTCACCAGATCTCAATCCAATAGAGCATCTTTGGGATGTGGTGGAACAGGTGATTCTCATCATGGATGTGCAGCCGACAAATCTGCAGCAACTGAGTGATGCCATCATTAGTGATGTTTGATACTGCCAATTTTCTTACCGATACTGACACCAAGTAAAATGTGGCTGGTATCGGCAATACTGATCCAATACTGATACTTCGATAACACACATAATGTGTCTGGTAAATCTTAAAAAGTAGTAATTTTCAAATAACCGCTTTATAAATAATAGTAATTTATTTAATTTAAAAGTCTTTCTAACCCTAACACTACTTTTGTTTAGCACAATTTTAAATTCTTATTCTAAAGAAATACAATACTCTTTGAATAGTGAATAAAAGTGAGAAAATATTCTAAAAGTTGTTACTTTGTATATTTTGTAGCTTTGTTTGTGGGTTTGCAAGTAGGTCCTTGGCCAGAGCTAATGCTGTTTGGGGGGCCATGGCATGAAAATGTTTGGGAACCCCTCATCTAGAATGCAATTACAGACAGTCAGACGAAGCAGATTTTATGTTAAAATGACCTGCCGTACATCTACAGACTGAGTAACTGACTGAACACATGCCACTGTCCTTAAGTATTATTCAAGCGGAAGAAAAAGTAGTTCCCGCCAACCACATATGATTTAGACATGATTTGAATAGTTTAGTTATTTTCCACTATTTTCCTGTTAATGATATTATGTGACATAACTAAAGTATCAAAGTATCAATATTTTGATTTTAGTATCGATTCTAGAACATAAAGTTCTGGTATCGGTAGTATCGATATTTCAGTATCGATCTGGCATCACTAGCTATCATGTTAATACGGACCAGACTCTCTGAGGAATGTTTCCAGTACCTTGTTGATTCTATGCTATGAAGGATTAAGGCAGTTCTGAAGGCAAAAGGGGGTCTAACCTGGTACTAGCAAGGTGTACCTAATAAACTGACCGGTGAGTGTACCTATTAAAGTGCCCGGTTCTTTATTTAGGATGTTTGTTATTGTGATATTTTCAGATTGTAGAGCTTTAAAAAGTCATACATTCTTTGAAAATCAAGAAGCATTGCTAGCAGCATATTGTGCTTGGTTCATGTTTATGCCACAGATGCATTAATTCTTGAAGCTTTTCTTTTGGTTCAAATCTGGATTAACTGACTAAAACCTGTGTAATCCGGTTCTTTGGTATCCTTAGTTAGTATTTCTGATTTTTATTCATCAGACTACATGACTGCTTTTCACACAGATTTATTTATCCTTCAAGAAGGTTGTGCTGTGAGGTGAAAAGCACTTCTAAATTTTGCTTACTATTTAAAAACTTGTGAATTTGAAACAGCTTGCATAATTTAGAGTTGTCAAGTTTTTATGAAGTGATGGTGATTATATGCTGCTATAAAAAGTGCATTGCAATAAAAAAAAAGCTGCAAAAACTTCCACAGTTGTGTGATTTCTTGCCTTGTAACTAATATTAATTTCTCCTGATGCACTTTTTTAGAATACACAACATATATTGGGGTTATAGAGATAACTTACCCAAACCTGGCCATTTCTCAGGAGAGATAATCACCTCGAAATAATGAGAATAGAAAGCTAAAAAAACTAGCTAAAATATAAATCATATATATTTTACTATCAGTATGTTTGTGTTTGTTTGCACACAGTCTTCTGTGATAAATTATTCACTGCTGCGATTCTCTGAACACTTTATTAGTTTGACGTTGTATGAATGATTGTTTCACATACCTGTAATAATGAGGAATGTTTTAAAAAATTATTTTGCATTTGAGGTTAAAATAACAACATGAAATGGATAACGCTGTGATCTCGACGAGCAGGAAGAGATGGACTGAATGTGTGGTGCACAGAGAGGCAGCTTGTCTGTCCGCCGCTCAGGAAATAGATGGTGACGATTTCTGTCAGTCGTGTTCCTCCGAACAGGTAAAACTCCTACATTTTGTTTTTGTTTGAATCTTATCTGGTTGTCATGTTTGTCTCCAGGACCCAGAGGTGAAGCCCTGCACCATGGTCAGTCTGGGACCCTCCCCCGCTTCCTGGAGGAGCCTGTTGATGCCTACATTATTAAAAGCAACCCCATCAAGCTGCGGTGTCAAGCCCGGCCGGCGCTCCAGATCTTCTTTAAGTGCAATGGAGAATGGGTCCACCAGAGCCAACACATGTCTCAGGAGCTCACTGATGTTGTGACAGGTAAGGTAGAAAAAACAACCTCTTCCTCTCTGCTGGCTCCTTCACTCAGCTCAACTTGTTTCCTGTTAACATTCAGCAGAACGCCCGTGTGTCATTTTTGTTTTGTTTTATTTTGAAAGGCTGTTGTGTGTTTCCGTTCAACCTGTGTCCGTGTGCAATGCATCAAAATTGATGTCTAGGTCCTCCTCTTTCATTTGAAATCTCATTTGACCAACTGGGTTCAAGTATCGGCTGTCCAGAGCCAATAATATATGAGAAGTGACCAATTTCCGATTTCCGTCATCCTGGGTTTGATTGACTGTAAAATTGGCCAATCAGCTTCGAGCTTCGTTCTGATGCCACAGCTGTGTAGCCAATCATCATACCTTTCATTTGGTGTATATATAGAGGGGGTGGGAACTTTGTTTAGTGACGGACAAGGTAAACACAGAGTAGGTCGCCATATTTAGACAGTCCTGCAATGCTACCGAAGGAAGCTACGCTCACAGGAAAACGTTTTTTTTCCATTGTTTTTTGGCCAGTTAGCTGACTAAACCTGCTGATAAGGTGAAAATATATTTGTTATTAAGCATTTAGAGTGCTTCAAGACATGGAAGAGTGATTTTTGTGGCCAGGAGAAGTAAAAATATTTGGATGAAAACACCTCCGGTCGGGCATTTTGAATTGCTAATTTCGTCATATTTGAGGACAAATGTGTCAAATGTGAGTGATAAACTTTTTTTTTTCGCTGTTGGTGGTTTTATAAGCTGTGTGGAATGTTAATGCTTTGAAAGAAATAAGGATATATTTGTTTATTCTTGTGGCTTGGTTGTTTATTGGCAGAAATTTGGCTCAATGTACTCCAGTTGGTCTAAATATTTCTGAACACTAATATATATCTTTAATTTAATCATGCTGTGAGTAAATATTGATGGTAGAATGTGTTTTGTGGGGGTTTTATCTTTAATTTGAGCTCAGAGTGAAGTCCCTGTGTTGAAGCATTTAGAAATTACATTGTTTTAGACAAAGTGTACAGTTTGGACATATTTTACAAGTGTACAAATATGCAAATGAGACATGCTGGATTGTACTATGACTCAAATATTCATATTTTATGCTACTGTTACCAAATTTGAACTGGTAATAGTTGGGAATTTATATTTTAGCCCAGTAAAAATTGTTTATTGATATCTCATGCCCTTCATATTCTGTAATACTTTTGTAACCCAGGTGTTAAATCGGAATCTGTCTTCCTTACTCCCTTATTCTGTTCTGCCTTAAATGTTCGCTTCTGCAGTAAAGTCTCGCGATATTTCCTATACAGTTGGTGGTAGTTCTCGCGAGAGTTGACTTTATAGTTGTAGCCAATCGCTGCGGGTCTTTCTGTGGTCACATGTGGTGTCTCGACCTACCAGAAGAGTTTATAAGCGAGAGCGGAAGTATGTGTGGCAGGTAGAGGTGCGTGCTGAACGGAGCAGAGCTACAGCAGTCATCTATCGTGACCCGAGTTGAAGCGAATGGGCGTTTGTGCGAAGTGTAAACAGCGGAATTGGCCAGGTGTCAACCTTTTGATGGCGAGCTGATGGACCATGCCTCGAGCCTACCTAAAGATGATCACACTGTGTGAAGACCTCTCTAGTCGGGCTGGTAGGAGGCTCCTTGTATCCTGCGAACTCTTTTTTACTCTATTATTGCTTATTATCCCCTCTAAGAGGATCTGCAGAACAACCTTGCAGTCTATGAACTTTTTCCCCAACATCAGTGCTGCTTTATGGTCCCCTCCACAAAAGGATCTGCACAAAACCCTTTGCACTTTTTAAACCCAGCTGGGGTTTTAATGAGCTGAAGGGTTGGGGAAAAGTAATGTTGGACTTGTTGTTTTTATTTATGAAAAAAATCTTTGAATCATTGAATTTTTGTTTGGTTTATTTGGTTATCTTTATTTATGTGCGCTGTTTATCTATTTATTTTGAATGGCCATTTGTTTAAATGTTTATATTCACTATTTAAAATTGTAAATTTGTATTTGGTTGCACTATAAATATGGCACTGGTAAACGCAAAACCTTCAGTCTCTGTCCACTCCTTAGAGTCGCAACCCGTTCTTCTGATCAACTAGCCTATTTGAATCCTTTATTAGGTTTTATTTAAACCTTATAATTGCAGTGTATTGGGTTTTAAATAATGCATATGCTACACTTTATTAATAAAAAATAAAAATTTTGGTAGAAAAATATCTTGATTTTTGTAAATTTACTTCAATATACTAAATACTAGTTAGTTACAACAAATATGACTGCTGTAGTTAAAAATTCAGATTATTAACTTTAAAAAGAGACCAAGCTTGTGAATTTACTCTAAAGGGTTCAAAAGCAGTACTTCATTTATTTTGTGTGTACTTTTTAAGGCATTTTATGGTATTTTATGCCCAAAGGTTAACAGGTAAATTCATGATTTTATTTATTTATGTATTTTTTTGCAGTGCACATTTAAACTAAAGAGAACATTATTATCCGTCACAGAAGGAGTGTCCTTTTCTTATTCAAGTTTTTTTTAAAGACTTTTATGTTCTAAAGACATATCATCTCCTGTCACTTAGCACTCAAGCATGCTGCATTTTCACTTATTTTGCACTTCTGTACCTGTTTCACCTTGGCTGTCTTTTAAATGGGATCTAAAGCTCATGTTGGATCACTGCTTGGGCCGAAGCTTGAAAGTGTTTTCTCACCTTCAAGTTGTTTTAAATAAAAAAAGGCTTCTGCTGATTTAAGAAATGCAAACGTCAATTCCAGGCTGTGAGGCTGAAAAGATGGAGAAACTCTGAATGGTTTGAATTCACTGCATAACTCTGTGATTGCGCAACAACGTCAAATATGACATCAATTTGAAATGGTGCATTTTGTCTCCCCAAAGTTTTTTATTTTATTTTTTGTACTTCTTGTTTCTTCATTTGGACTGTAATCTGATTAGTGTAACACATTTAAAGGGCCAATATTATGTGTTTCTCAGGCATACATTTAAATACTATACCATAATAAAGTATCTGTCACCTTTAGCTGTTATTAAAATGCTGTTTTTATGTTTAAATAGAAAATAAACTTATCTTCTCATCACTTCCTCTTCTAAATGCCTTGAAATTGGCCTCTGTCTCTTTAAGAACCCCCTTCCGCTTCCGTTTTGCCCATTTCGGTGGGGCGGGGGCAGGGGTGGGGGTGTTTGCCATGATTTATACTTGGCATCTGAAAAAACATTTCCTCAAAGGTATTTTTAATCTGAAAAGAGCCTCACTGAGTGAGAACTAATGTTGAGAGCTCAGCAGACRGTTAGGTTTCACTTTCACTTTCACCTGAGAGCCTGCAGGAGTCATGGGCGGGGTGTGTGGGGTGTGGTGAGGTGGGGGGTGCGCTCTGCCATGAGGAAGTTCGGCTTAAAGACACGTCCCAGGGGCGTTCCTGGTTCCAAAAGGTGTTTCTGGTCCCCACCTGTTGTTTTGCTCCTCAGCATGGCTTCATAAAAACACTGCAGGATTTCTCAAACATGATGAATGAGTCAGAGCAAGGCTTTGGGCATGTTTTTTTGTAAGAGTTTAACATTATAACATGATATAAAACTCAAAAAAGTTGATTTTACATGATATCGCCCCTTTAAGTATAAAGCACCAGTGGCCCCCACCACCAATACCATGGAGCCAGCATCACTGCAGTACTCACACAGACTTTAAAACAAAATGAACATCTTAAAAATGCAACCAATATATAAATTTACCATGCAGTTTATTAAGCGTGATACTCAAAGTAACAAAAATACCACTTTTGTTCCTTTTGTGCCTTGTGTCTCTAGTTTGTAAAGTGATTCATAGCTGTGAGAAAATAATGGCACGTTGCCTCTGTAATTATCTGATACTTTCACGTACAGAGCATGAGCTACAGCAGGCTGCCAAAATATTTGTGGGAAACGGTTTGTAGCATGAACTCTGAGACATCCCATATGCACCATAATAACAAAAGTTACAAAGCAATGACCCAACAGTAACACTGCACAGTTGCATGCTATGCAGTGCTAACACTTTGTTTATAGTTGCCACATTTCATGCAGAAAAAAAAAAAGACACGTGAGACTTGGACTGATGGACTGAGCCAAGTGATGCAGCTGTGGTTTCAAATTCTAACTTAATGCTTGAGCTCAAGAAATTATTATGATTCATACTTTATCTTTTTAGGTACTTTATAACTAAAAAAATGTCCATATTTTCATATTATTTGATGATAAACACTAATCTACAATAAAATCTATCAGATGAGCCCAAAATACATGAAAAACTAGAGAGCTGTAAACACAGATTTTAGAATGTAGTTTGTTTCATTGGTCAGAACTTTACACCATTTTTTGTCGTACATCTGTAAAGTATGTAAGTGTCATCCATGCACACATTAATCAATTAATTAATTCATTCATTCATTCAATTTTTTTGTTCAATGAGTATTTATGAATGCAATATTCTAGATGTTTTCTGTAGCTGTGTTTCCGTTGCAAATGTGCACAAAACTTTGTCGATATTCTGTTAATGTCGGAAAGACACAGTTTCACAACTGCGATGTTTCCATTAAGTAAGAAATGCTATTAAAGTCACGTGAATACGTTTGTTGTCACAATAAGTCATTACAAACATGGCAGTGATGGATGTAAACACATAGCATGTTGCTACCACGACACTAGCGCTCATCATCAGAGGAGACGTCGGCGTCTTTTATCGAGGCTTTCCAGAGACAAGTCCCTACTTGGGAGTGACTATGTGTACTGTGTTTTTGGGAAATTGTAGTCGGTGAGTTTACTATTTTATACTACTTCTGTGATATTACTACTACTTCTACTTCCTGTTATCTTCTTCGTCGTCGTCTGTTTCGCCAGTAGAAACAGCCGGTTGTTGATCACGTGACTCCCGTGATGCGAAAAAAGTGTTTCCATTGCAGTTTTGCGAAAAACACCAATTTCGATACGGCCGAAAAACCACCTCATCCTAGC